CAGACCTTCGTCATTGTAGGGAGAATTTCGGCGTTGGGCTCCCGGCGAACGTGTTCATTGGCAGTTCCGGGATCCGCAATAGGGGGACGCTGTTTCGTAGTTCGGCAGGCTTCCCTTTGAGGAGTGGTGTAGTGGTGCTGTCGTGTAGTGCTTTTGGTCTCAACATCCGCAATAGAGGGACGCGTGTTGGCTGTTCAGCAGACTTCCCCCCTAGTAGTGGTGCGCTGTTGATGATGGTGAGGGGGTGCTTGTGGCTCGCAGGAGTCACAGTTTCGCTGATCGTCGGGAACTCATCTGGGATGTTGGGTGGGTGTGGGTCTCCTGGTGTATGTTGATATGCAGAAGTCTTCTCGTGGGTGTCTTGATGTGTTGAACTTATATTCACGGGAGCTGCTGGTTGAGTCGACCACCCCGTGGTAGCTTCGAAGTCTCCGCGACCGAGTGCTTTCTTGAGGGTTTCGGCAATCAAAGCGACACCCATAAAACTCGGATGAAGCCCATCCGCGGCAAGAAAGCGTCTTGGTGGCAACTGCTCGAATTGGTAGTCGATGTATGACACCTTACTGGGTCTTCGGCAGTAGGCCTTGACTGTCTCGTTGAATTGACGAGCATGCCGGTTGAAGCGGTGCACGAATTGTTCATTCGATCGTTCCAGGTGTAGATTGAGGTAACGGGGCAGCACGCATGAAACAACGAGCCTTTCGAGTTCCTGGCGTGTCTGAAGCGTGTTGTTCACTAGGCGGTGAAGTCGGCGTAGCGATTCCTCTAGTCCGTACGACGCCAGCTCGCTCGTACCGACGTGAAAAACGAGCGTGGTCACAGATCGTGGTATGCCAGCAAGCTCTTTCTCAATGTCGAATGTGGAGGCTCCGCGGATGGAAATTATTGCAGGTGTCGTCTTCTCATGCGGGTTGAAATGCCGATGTAAATACCTTATTTGCGAGTTTCCGATGATGGCTGATGTTGGACAACCCAAAACACTGGACACTGGACAACTGGACACTGGACAAACACTGGCACTGGACACTGGCACTGGACAACCCAAAACAATTCCAAGTGTAACTACTCTTCCTAAGTGCAGCTTTCGTCTGTTTTCTGTTTTATTTTACTACCCAATCAATTGTGCCATGCATGACATGCCCAACCGCAACCCTGTGCACAGCCGGGAGGCCCCCACTACACGCGTAATCCAGAAGCGGGCAAGGAATTCGCATTGGGCCCGCTTACCAGCCTCTACCGCAATATGGGGCACCCCTCTTTTTACGGCGAAATGTTGACAGAGCGCCGAGTAGTTAAAGGCTTAGAACTTCCTAAAATGCCCGCTTACCAGCTTCTGCCACAATACGCGGCACCCCTCCTTCTACGACGAATTGTTTACGGGACTCCGAGTAGTTAAAGGCTTAGAACTTCTTTAAAAAGCTCTTTTTTGCCCCACACCAAACCGCCAGTGCCTGGAAGCGCCGTCTGGCTGGAAGGAATGCGTTAGTGAAAGGAAACATACACAGACCGCTGACATCAGAAAGGTGAAGAGGAGAAGGGGGAGAGAGATGAAGGGGGAAGTGGAGGGAAGAGTGGAAGGGGGCGCTCGAGGGGACTCCACTGTATATTATTTTTCTCTTCTTCTTCTCTTTTTTCTTCTTTTTCTTTTCTGTCTTTTTCCCTCTTTCCTTTCCCTCTGATTTGAGATTGTATAAAGCTGAGCACCAACAAACTGTATCTTTAATCCTGATGAAGGACAGACTCTAGGCCGAAACGTCGAAATAAACCACGTTGTGACCGCTCACGGAGGATCTACTGGACTATATATATATATATATATATATATATATATATATATATATATATATATATATATATATATAGTTGTGTATGCGTGTGTGCGTCGCACTTGCGTAATAAATAAACCTTATGTTCAGGGTTCGCACTTCTCCCTGTCTTCTGCTTGCTGTCTGTGTTCTTGACCACGTAGTGTACATCGATCATGAATTAAGACTTGCCCCAAATTCACTGTAAGACACGGACGCACGCACGCACACAAACTCATGCTCATACATGGTGCATACCCGTATGCACGCACATACATATACACGCGCATACGCACGCTATACAAACACGTGCACACACGCCGGTGATACATACGCACATACTAGCGAAATACAAACACTCATGTGCATACATACATACACACGCGATAGAGACATGCACGCAAGCACATACATACACATTCCCATAAAACGCGATACATGCACGCGCACATACATACGCGATACAGGGACGCACACACATATATAGGTAGGTGCAGAGACCATCGATACAGAAACGCGCACGCATACAAACGTGCGCGTACACTCGCGTGATACATACACGAACGCACGTACACATGCCACCCATACAAGCTTGCACACGTGCACGCATGTGCACGCATATGTGCGCACAATCATATGCACGCGCACAAAAAAAACAGAAGTGCACATTAAAGCGCCCACTTACTATGTGAATAAAATGAAAGCGGGAAAGCGCGCTGTCTACTTATCACCACTTACCACGGGGGCTTATGTAGGGGTGTCTTTTGTCACCCTTGTTATTCATGATGTATCTACAAGGATTAGAGGCTAAATTAGAGGGAAGTGGGCTTGGCTTCAGCCTCTTTTTCGTCAAACAAGGAAAACTCATTGAACGGGTACTACCAGCATTGATGTACGCAGATGATATAGTGCTAATGGCCGACAACAAGGTAGAATTGCAGAGATTGATGGACATCTGCAGTAATGAGAAAGATAGGTTAAATTTCAGATTTTGTAAGGAAAATACAGCACTCATAATTTTTAATAATAATGAAGGTAGTGAGCATAGAATACAGGAGGTCACGCTAAGGATAACAGATAAATATAAATATCTGGGCGTATTGATAAGCAACGGGACCGAGTTCCTAAGGGAACACGATATATACGTGAAGACTAAAGGTAACAGGAATGCAGCAGTGATGAAAAATAAGGCACTGTGGAATTACAGTAGGTATGTTGTAGCGAGAGAAATATGTAAAGGGGGTCATGGTGAGAGAAATATGGAAAGGGGTCATGGTTCCTTGTCTGACGTTTGGCGATGCGGTCTTGTGCATGAGATCAGAAGTTAAAGCAAGATTAGAAACTAAGCGACGTGGTATAGGTAGACTTAACCTTAGGAGCTAGCGGGGACACACCAAATCAGGGAGTACAAGGCGATATGGGATGGACATAATTTGAGGGCAGGGAAGCTAGCAGCAAGATAAAATTTGAGAAGCGATTGAGAGAAATGGGAGACGAGCGTAGGGCTCGGAAGGTTTTCAGCTACTTGTACATGAAGAATGTCGATACAAAATGGAGGATGCGAACCAGAAAATTCACGGGTAAATACTTAGAAAGCAGCAGGGATTCAAACCAAAAAGAATTATCGGTTAAGAATAAGGTGAAGGAAGCTGAGACCAATATGTGGAGAATCGGCATGAATAAGAAGTCTGCACTAGAGATCTATCGAACTTTTAAGCAGCAAATTGCCAAGGACAAGATGTATGTATTACTCGGGGTAGTTCTCTACTGTTGGATGCCAAGAAGGGAGTATTGCAAAGCAAGACCTATCGGGCCAAATACGAAGATGTAGACACGGTATGCAGTGTGTGTGGAGAGGAGGAGGAAACTGCCGAACACTTGATAATGTTCTGTAAAAGGCTTCACCCTATAGTTTAGGATAATGGCGCATAGTTTTTCGAAGCACTGGGGCTTAGGGACAGAGAGGGCAAAATAGACTTTAGCGGTTAGAATTATTTAGAAGGAGGTTACCTGATTGGTGGCTAAAGTCAAGGCACGAGGGAAAATTAAACCCTTCATTGCAAACGCGCACCAGTACTCAACCTCACTATTTAAAGGAAAAACATAAATCTAGTTTTTGATGCACTAAGTATTACGGCTTGGTGGCGGTAGCCACCACCCGATCTAAAGGGTACATCCATATCAATCCATCCATCCATCCAACCATTGACCAGCAGGCATACATACACAAAGGTGCCAAATTTGGGTGCCCTCTCCACCTATCACCATTGACCGGGAGCATATATACACAGAGGTCCCGAACATGAGGCGCGTTGTCCACTTATCACCATTGACCGGCAGGCATACATGCACAAAGGCACTGAACATTAGGCGCGCTGTACACTTGTCATCATTGACCAGCAGGCATACATACACAGAGGGGCGCAACATTGGGCAAGCTGTCTACTTATCACCATTGAACAGCAGCGATACATACACAGAGGTGCCGAACATTAGGAGCGCTGTCCACTTATCACCATTGATCGGCAGGCATACATGTGCAGAGCTGCCGAACAGTATGTGCGCACCTGTCAATGGTGACAACTGGACGGTGCGTACTATACCATTGTCAAAGTTATCCGCTGCTCGGGTTTCATGTGACGCTAATAGCGTAGAGTTGCTCACAAAACTCGTTTCTGTCGTGGACGCAGCCACTAGAAGATGGCGCTATGCGTACCGCATCACGTGACGCGCGGGACGATTCGGCGCAGCAGATCGCCGGCGCGAGTGTGTGCGACCGTGTCTGTCGAGCTAACATGTAGCCGCGCTAGCACGCATGGTTTAATCCAATCCTTTGACCATTAAACAGTTGTCGTTATCCGTCAGCTCTTTCGTGTTCTCAGTTCCCGACCACGACATGGTGGCAGCGGTGGGATGCGTGGAAGACACGACTACGCTGTGAAGAGGGCACCAGACAAGTAGGCCTAACAAACGCTGGCATCGAACACGGAACTTTGCAGCACCCATGGCAACGCCTACAGTGCCCACAGCTCAGCCTGCAATCCCGCTCAACCCTTTCGTCGTCGAACTGCCGGAAAAGCTCGGCGGCGACCCGGGGAGTGGAAGTGGTGGTTTACACGATCGGAAAGGTACCGCGTCATCTCAGGTTTGAAGAAACAAGACGACGAAACCCAGGTGAACACACTCATTTACGCGATGGGCCGTGAAGCAGAAGATGTCCTGGCGTCGCTCAAACTTTCTGACGCTGAGAAACTCAACTACGACGCGGTAACACGAGCGTTCGCAAAACATTTCGTGCCGCAGACGAACGCGATATACGAGCGGGCGAAGTTCAACAGCCGGAAGCAAGAAGCGCATGAGTCAGTCGACGCGTTCGTAACCGAACTCTACCGACTGGCCGAAACCTGCGAGTACGGAGATCTCATAGAAGAATCGATCCGCGACAGGCTCGTGGCCGGCCTTGCAGACACGCAGCCAAGCGAGAAGCTGCAACTTGACGCCGAGCTGACTCTTGAAGCCGCCGTCACCGCTGTACGCAACTCTGAAACGATCAAGCTGCAGCAAAAAGATCTACGGCCGCAGCAACAGGTGCCTGCTGCTGTTGACACCATGCGTGGATGTTCGAAGAGCAAAAGAAAGCCAAATCAGCGCTCTCAAAAAACACAGCGCGACCAAACTGTGCCGACGTGCAAGTGGTGTGGCTCAACAACGCACCCACCATCACGCACTATGTGCCCGGCAAACGGGAAAATATGCAGTGCCTGCGGCAAAAAGGGACACTTTGCCGCCGTGTGCTTATCTGCCTCTGAAAGGAAGAAAAAGAGCACCCCCAAGCTGTTTTGGAAGAGGTTTACTTGGGTCAATTGACCGATCAACGGGCCTCTGGACCGTGGGGGACTGACGTTACAGTAAATGGCTTGCCCATGAAGTTCAATGGAGACACCGGTACAGATGTTACCGCTATAACTACAAGTCTCTACAACGAACAAGTCATGGGCAACCTGAAGCAGGCCAAGAAACAGCTGCTGGGACCCGGCCGGACCGAAATCGCAACAATAGGTCTGTTTAGAGCAACCTTGTGCTGGAATGGCCGAGAGTGTCAAGAAGAAATTTACGTGATCGACAAGTTAAACGATGCACTTCTCGGACGTCCAGCAATCAAATCATTGGATATCCTTCCAAGCCTCCTCAAAGTCACAGCGTCAACAAGCAAGGTCAGTGACCCTGCTAACATTCTCTGCCACTACCCCAGCTTGACTACAGGCCTGGGCCTTCTCAAGACAGAATACAAGATAATATTTCTCCCCAATGCCAAGCCGAGTGCTATTACGTATCCGCGGGGAGTACCCCTACCCATGCTGCCTAGTGTCAAACGTGAGTTGAAGAGAATGGAGAACCTCGGCGTCATCATAAAGGTCGACGAGGCCACAGTGTGGTGCGTACCTAAGGTAGTCGCGAAAAAGAAAGGAGGCGAGCTTCGAGTCTGTGTTGACTTCGGAGGGTTAGACAAGAACATTTTGCGGGAACGAGTCGTAATGCCCACTGTCGACAAATGTTTGGCCAGACTTGCCGGAGCTACATGGTTCAGCAAGCTTGATGCAAGGGCTGATTATTGGCAAGCTCCGCTAGCACCCGAGTCCCAGAAGTACAATACATTTCTGACGCCATTCGGCAGGTTTCCGTTCCTCCGATTGCCCTTTGGGATTTTGACAGAAACCGAGTTTTTCCAGAGAGAAATGCTAAGAGTTCTAGAAGGCATTGAAGGCCAAGCATGTCTACAAGACGACATTATAGTGTTTGGACCTTCAAGGGAAGAACATGACACACTACTGCACAAAGTACTGCAGCGCCTGCAAGAAGCTGGCATCACCTTGAACGCAGAAAAATGCGTACTACATCAGCAGTCTGTGAGATTCCTGGGATACATCGTGTCGGCGAATGGCATCAGTGCCGACCCTGAAAAGGTCAACGCACTGTGTCACCTAGCAGAGCCTACAGATGTAACAGAGGTGAGGTCCTTCTTGAGAATGGCCAACCACTTGGCCAAGTTTCTCCCGGGGCTTTCGCAGCTCAAAAAACCGTTGCATGACTTACTTCACAGCGACGCCGAATGGTGCTGGGACAAGCCACAGCAAGAAAGTTTCAATGCTGTCAAGAAAGCATTGACAAGGACTCCAGTGCTTACTCACTACGACCCTTGTAGTCATCACACTGTGTCGGCGGATGCATCGTCGTACGGTCTTGGAGCGGTCCTCCTTCAAGAAACAGCGGGTCGGAGGCTTCCAGTTGCCTATGCCTCAAGATGCCTCTCTGACACGGAGACGCGATATGCGCAAATAGAGAAAGAAGTACTGGCAGTAACATGGGCCTGCGAGCATTTCCGCTCCTATCTGCTTGGTGCGCAGTTTTACGTGGAAACTGATCACAAGCCACTGGTGCCACTGCTGTCATCAAGCCGCCTGGACGAACTTAGTCGCCGACTGCAACGGTTCCCTATGAGACTCCTCGAGTTCAATTACACCATTGCCCACATCCTAGGCAAGAAAATGCATACAGCCGATGTGCTCTCAAGGAAACCGCAGAAAGAAACGGACAACAGCAGTCCAAGGAGCCCCAGCAGGGTCATCATAGAATATAAAATTCTCGCAATGAAACTACTGCCAGCTTCCCACGATATGCTTGAAAATATAAAGGCAGCACATGAGAATGATCCTGTTCTAGCAAGAATTAGGGACTACTGCACGACTTCGTGGCCCAAAGAAGTGGCACTACCTCCAGACGTGCAGAAGTATTTAGAATTAGCCCATGAACTGACACAAGTGGATGGAATTTTGCTCAAAGGCAACCGCAATGTAATTCCACCAAGCATGCAAAGTGGTGTGCTAGAGCACTTGGATGCCGGTCATCAGGGCGTTGGGAGATGTAGGGCTCGAGCCACTCAGTTGGTGTGGTGGCCAGGCATTAACCAGCACATCCAAAGTTATGTGTCAAGATGCCCGGTCTGTCAACAACACCGTAAACCACACGCCGAGCCCCTGATACTCTCCCCACTTTCCAAACACCCATGGGAAGCAATAGGAATCGATCTCTTCTGTGTGGATAGAGTTAACTACCTCGTGGTTGTGGACTACTACTCACGTTTCTTTGAAATCGAGAAGTTGAAGCGTACCAACACAGAGAACATAACTCAAGCACTGAGTCCGATCTTCGCGCGCTTTGGGGCACCGGCTATCATACGATCAGACAATGGCCCTCAGTTTGCTTCGCCACAGTTCAAAGCGTTTGTCAAGCAATGGGGATCAAGTCACGTAACCAGCAGCCCCTACTTCCCTCTGAGCAACGGCGCGGCAGAAAGAACAGTTCAGACTGCTAAACAGCTGATCAAGAAATCGCCAAACATCCACAAGGCTCTGCTCGCGCATAGAGACACGCCAGGGAAAGAAGGATTCACACCAGCGGAACTCCTCATGGGAAGGCACCTAAGAACTGACGTGCACGTGGCACCGCACATGCTGAGGCCATGGTGAGCACCGTAGAATTTACAAAACGAAATTAAGCCTACAGAATCAAGCAGGGGCAACAATATAACCGGAGACACAGGACCTTATCAAGAGATCCCATTCAACCGCAGACAGCCGTCCGCATTCTGTCTGGTGCTCCAATAACAGGGACCGTCATTGGGCCAGCTCACACGCCTCGTTCATATGTGGTGAGCACACCTGGAGGTCTCACAAGACGCACCAGCCAACATCTCCAGCCGCTACAACCAGTGGCCACAACAAGAAGTGGACGAACTGTGAGAGCTCCAAGTCGGCTTGACCTGGGACAAGCAGGAGGGCCACTTCAAAGAAGAGGAGGTGTCGTGGACGCAGCCACAAGGAGATGGCGCTATGCGTACCGCATTACGTGACGCGTGGAACGATTCGGCGCAGCAGATCGCCGGCGCGAGTGTGTGCGACCGCGTCTGTCGAGCTAACATGTAGCCGTGCTAGTAAGCATGGTTTAATCGAATCCTTTGACCATTAAACAGTTCTCGTTATGCGTCAGCTCATTCGTGTTCTCAGTTCCCGACCACGACAGTTTCTCACAAAGGAAATCTGGCACCACCATCTATAAAAATTTCTCAACGGGCCCCGTCGGAGCACCGGGATGACGGTATATGTTTCCGCAAGGCTTGCGTTGGGTGGTTTTGAGCAAGCCTTCGGTACAAAAGTGAATACAAGTGCGTAAATAAAGCTTCTCTAAGACGAAATGTTCAAACCCACATCTCACTGATGGGCATTATCTTCTAAAACTAAAGTCCACTAACCTTGACGGCACAACCAAACCGCGAAAGAAAGAAACAGGCGACATAAAGTGACAAAGCAAACTCTCGCTTTGTCGTTTGCCTGCCAAGTTTAGCGGCTGTTTGTAACTTTTTCCGCTTCGTAAAATTGTACGTCGACGCAGATGGTTGAAGTGTTATACAAAATACGGTTCATCTCCAATGACAAAAATAAATAGCTTCATACGTACTCTTTTAGTAATAAATGAACCATTTTAACGTGAAGCCAGAAGCATCTCGTCTTTGAGGTATACAAATTCGAGTCAAGTTCGAAGCTCACATATCTGCAGAGATACCGATTTTGGTATCACATGACGGGAACAGATGACGAAGGTAAGTAACACATTCAAACATGATAACCATTAAATGTGCGTCATGTAAAACATGACCACATGCTAGTCTGTTAGCATGCTCGCAGGCGTTTCACTAGTTCCGCATATACCAAATTTGGTTTCACGTGAATAGACAACCAAGGTAAATGGCAGGTTCAAACATATTGCTCTTGGCGCGGAAGTCATTTACGGCATAATTTATGTCCGGTTTGTAACGGGAGCTCATTTTAAAGTGAAATGCCAACCTTCCTCATTCGTGTTTCGCATATTATCGATTCCCACAGTACGTGGGATCTGCCAACTTTTTTATTATCATTCTGGCAAGCTTATGAAGGCTAAACCGTTAGCAGAGCTCATTTTTGTGAGTGTGCCCTGATACGTCTTACGTGATACTTCTCTACACACCCAGAAGGCTGAAAAAGCAGCTGCAGTTTCTTGCATTCTTTGTATATGGGCAAAATACCAAAACCCCACCCTCTGTATGCCGGGTAACTAATGACTTGTGAAGAAATCAGCAATCCTGCGTCAAGCGAATTTTGTGCCCTGCTGAGAACACCGCCAAAGTCCATTTAGGGTTTTATATATACGTTTTTATACTTTACTTCGGGGCACCAGCCTGCCAATGAGCAAATTTACGCCAAAAGCTCGGGTTTTGATGCTAATCGATAGCTAACGTCAGCCCACATTTCAACACGCGTTCTCTACCTTTGTCGGTGACGCCAAGTCTCCCACGACATACAGGGGTGTGGCGGTCCAGCGTTCTCACGAATACAAACAAGCACACGCTTCCCAAAATAACTCATTCACACGGTCAATAATGCTCAAGATCTTTCGCTAATTCGAGGCTGATCCATCGCCTTTATTCGAAGATGCCATGGATACGCCAATTTCATACACTGCTCTCTTAACAGCAGCTGTGAGCCAGCGCTCATGTGTGTCAAAGTCACCGAAACGGGAGAAGTACCTGTACCTTGCTGGCACAAACGTGCTAGTGAAGAGATAAGCTGGTTTACGTGGCTACACACGCACGTAAGTGCATGCATGCAAGTGAAGACTGCTCATTAATCTTGTATGATAGGTCAGAGAACAACAGAATGCTTCTCTCGTAATTGAAAATGCGCGCAATTCTTAAACCATTCTTTATCGCGCGTAATATCAATGCCACTTGCCCTTCACCACGCTGAAATACGTGATAGCGAGTCGAATGAGCGTGGTTTTTTCCCAGTTCCTGCACCTACATTTCTCCATGCGTGGTGCTTAATTACTTCTTTTCTGGGCACGAAAATCCCGCGAAAGTTTCGTATAAGGACAAAAGCGGCCACCGTAGGCTGGATGGATGGATGGATGGATGGATGGATGGATGGATGGATGGATGGATGGATGGATGGATGGATGGATGGATGGATGGATGGATGGATGGATGGATGGATGGATGGATGGATGGATGGATGGATGGATGGATGGATGGATATGGCTGTACTCTTTAGATCGGGCGGTGGCTAGCGCCACCAAGCCGTAATACTTAATGAACCAAAAACTAGATTTATTTTTTCTTTAAAAAGTGAGTTTGATGATTCGTACTTTGCAGTAAAGGGTTTAATTTTCACTGGTGCCTTGACTTTAGCCACCAATCAGATAACCTCCTTCTAGTTAAAACTACCCGCTTGAAGTCTATTTTGCGCTCCCGGTCCCTTAACCCCAGTGCTTTGAAAAACTCTGCGCCATCATCCTGAACTATAGGGTGAAGCCCTTTTACAGAACATTATCAAGTTCGGCAGTTTCTTCTTCCTCTCCACATGCACTGCATACTGTGTCTACCCCTTCGTATTAGGCCCGATATGTGTTGGTTCACGGTACTCCCATCCTGGCCTCAAACAGTAGAGAACTACCCCGAGTATTATCATAGATCCTTTCCTTGGCAATTTCCTGCTGAAAGTTCGATATATCTCTAGTGCGGACTTCTTAATCATACCCATTCTCCACATGTCAGTCTCCATTTTCTTCACTTTCTTCCTAACCAATAGTTGGTTTGAAACAGCAGGTGGTTTGGCCACCTGCTGTTTTCTAAGTATTTACCAGTCAATTTCCTGGTTCGCTTCATCCATTTTGTATCGACATTCTTCATGTACAAGTAGCTGAAAACCTTCGTAGCCCAACGCTCCTCCCCCATTTTTATGAATCGCTTCTCAAATTTTATCTTGCTGCTAGCTTCCCTGCCCTCAAATGATGTGCATCCTATATCACCTTGTACTGCCTGATTTGGTGTATTGCCGTGAGCTCCTAAAGCAAGCCTATCTATTCCACGTTGCTTAATTTCTAATCTTGCTTGAACTTCTGATCTCATGCACAAGACCGCATTGCCGAACGTCAGCCCAGGAACCATGACCCCTTTCCATATTCTTCTCACAACATCATACCTATTGTAATTCCACAGGGCCCTATTTTTCATCACTGCTGCATTCCTGTTACCTTTAGTCGTCACGTATATTTCGTGTTCCCTCGGGTACTCGGTCCTATTGCTTATCCATACGCCCAGATATTTGCATTTATCTGTTATCTCTAGCGTGACCTCCCGTATTCTAAGTTCGCTACCTTCGTTGCCATTGAAAATCATGACTGCTGATTTTTCCTTACTGAATCTAAAATCTAACCTATCTCTCTCATTACCGTAGATGTCCCTCAATCTCTGCAAATCTTCCTCGTTGTCGGCCATTAGCACTATCTCATCTGCGTACATTAATGCTGGTAATGCCTGATCAATGAGTTTTCTTTGTTTGACTAAAGAGAGGTTGAAGCCCAGTCCACTTCCCTCTAATTTGGTCTCTAATCCTTGTAGGTACATCATGAATAGTAAGGGTGACAGGGGACACCCCTGCCTAAGCCCCCGTTTTACCTCTGCAGGCTTGGGTACCTGTTTTTTCCACTTTATAACTACCTTGTTACCTCTATCGATATCTTTTAAAAGATTAGTGACTACATGTTCCACGCCTAGTGTGTCCAGTATTCCCCACGATTCCTCTTGAACCACGCTATCGTACGCTCCCTTGATATCCAAAAATGCTAGCCACAGGGACCTGTGTTCCTTTCCTGCTATTTCGATGCACTGCGTCAGTGAGAACAGATTGTCTTCCAACCTCCTGTGTTTCCGAAACCCATTCTGCGGTTCCCCCAGCACCCCCTCGTCTTCTATCCATGCCTGCAGTCTTTCCTTTATAATCTGCATCGCCATCCTGTAGACCACTGATGTCACTGTTTAGGACGGTAGTTGTTTATGTCAGCTTTGTCTCCCTTTCCTTTATAGATCATGCTCATCCTGCTAAGTTTCCATCCATCGGGAACTTCACCATCGAATATTATTTTGCTCACTGCCTCTCTCAAAGCCTGCTTAGTCTTCGGACCTAATGTCTTTATCAGCATAATTGGAATGCCATCTGGGCCTGTTTATGTACTAATAGGAACCCTTTTCTCAGCCCTTTCCCACTCTCGTTGTGAAATTGGAGCCATTGCACCACTTGATTCGTCCTTGTCTATTGTGGTGCATAAAGTACTTCTTTGAAATTTTTCTGTCACCCTTGTTCTTATATATTCTATAGCTTCGTCCCCTTCTAGCCTAGCACCTTGGGCTGTAGTTATAAAACTCTGCTCTAGGCTCGTCTCATATCTTAGGGAGTTTAGATGGTTCCGAAATTTCGCAGCTGCCTTTCTATCTTTTTTATGTACTTCTGCCAGCCACTTAGCTCACTTTCTTCTAATCTTTTCATTGATCAGAAGGGATGCATGCCTTCTACAGCTTAGAAAGCTTTCCCATTTTCTTTCCACATCATCTGTCGGTTCACCCCGCTGCTTAGCATGTCTGTGTTCCCTAGAGGCT